GTGCCCCAAGCAACCCAATGTTAAGAAAGGTGTAGCGATGACAGCCTCAGATGCACCATGGGATAGACACACATAGGGTTGCTATGTGCTGGCATCAACTCAATGACAATGTGTTTGGTTTGGGGGTTTGAACCCTGTGCTTGTTTCATAGATGTAACATGTAAGGTACATGACAACGTTAGAAAACACACTACCTGAATAATGTGCCATTTCTAGGGTAGAGTTAAAGTGGGAGCTGATTATCTTCATTCAGTCTCCTTCAGACCATACCACCCAGGGAGGAGCTGAGTTATGAAAGCAGCACCTCCCGGGCTTCCCCCAAGGTGGCGCCCAACTAGGCAGCCTTGCTACCTAGGCCCTCTCCATCGAAGACACAGGAAGCCTCCTGAAGCCAATACACAGATGAAAATCCTGGAACCCTGACCTTCAGGGTCAAGGGTAGAGAAATGAATGGAACAAGTAGATGAAGCTGGATGAAAGTGTTGAGAGAAGACAGAAGGGGGGATCGTCAACTAGCCTGCACAGCACAGCCTGCTTGAAGGACTGCAAGTAGTACCCCACACAGACAGTGGCTGGAACACGGTGGCTGACGATGAGGAAGGTGGGCTCCTCCCTGGTTCTTCACAACCCTCTGGGATCTAGAAGCACCACCAGCCTCACCTACACCCACAAGTGACTCATGACATCCCCTCACACATAGCCCCACCACCTGTTGTGCCTTAAGGCCAGAGCCGTGTCCTCTGGAAACAGGTGCACCTGAGTCTGGAGGCACGCCAACTCCCCCACCACCACCCCCCCACCACATCAGACCAGCAGAGGCCACAGAGCGGGACCCTGACCATCCCTGGATGGGCAGGAACTCATTTCAGAGCCAGCCATCCTGCCCCCAGCTGTGTTCTCTGCCCCAAAAGAATTCCTTCCTGAATCAAGTACCCTGACCTCAGCCACCATCTCAGCCTGAGTCCAAACAGGAATGCCCTTTAAGATCAGTGTTTTGCCCTCTCTCTGTATGAGCTCCTTAGCTGGCAGACGGTGCCAACCTATGCCAGGTGACTTGCCCCCACCTGCCTCACCTACAGGGCCCACCCTGCTTCTCTTTCCTTTTATTTCCTTTTCATGTATCCTTTCTTTCTGTTTTCCTTTTTCTTTCTCCTTTCTAACTCCCTCTGCATGGAGCCCCACAGAACCATCTCTAGATACTGTCTCCCAGCAAAATGTGTGCAGAGAATTCAAGCCCACTGGTCTACCAGGACCCAATCCTGTACTTGAGCCCCTGGACCTGTCTTATTACAGCAATGCTTTGTTATTAACGTTATTTTGCAGGGAGTGGTTTGTGTTTTTGTTTTGTATTATTTTGAGGTTGCATTGCTGGGTGACAATAATTATTGATTTTTATTTTGTTTCATCCCTTCTTAATTTCATCAATCTTGGAGAACCCCCTCCCCCCCAAAAAAAAGTAAACCCAAACTCTCTTCCACTGAGTTCATACCTACTCATAGTGAACCTCGAGGATGGGGAGAACAGCGCCCCCTGTGAGTTCCAGAGTCTGTAACTCTTTATGGGAGTAAAAAGGTCCGTCTTTCTCCCTTGGAGCAGCTGGTGGTTTTGAACTGTGGACCTTGCAGATCACAGCCCAAAGCATAATCACTATGCCACCAGGGCTCCTTGGAGAAACCAAATATGATGGCAAATGAATGCAAGTTTTTGAGTTCAGCAGCACCTGCAGCTTCTTAGGGGGCTGTTTGCATGAAAGCCAGTGAAGATTTGCGGAGCGGACGAGCTGCAATAATAAGAGCTCGTGACACCACTGTGCTGACTTAGAGTCAGGCACTGTCTGCCGTAGGAACCCTGGTGGCCCAGTGGTTAAGTGTTCAGCCCTTAACGAAGTTCAGTGGTTTGCACCCAGCAGCTGGTCTGCTGGAGAAGGACGTGGCTGCCTGTTTCCATTGAGATCCCAGCCATGAAAATCCATGTGGCCGATCTACTCTGTCCTTACAGGGTCACTATGAATTGGCATCAACTTGGTGTTAATAGGTTGTTTGGGTTATTTACTGGCCTTTGTGGGTTGGAATCAAGTTGGTGGCAATGGGTTTGTTTTGTTTTTCTATTGTCCCTGGGGGCTTTCTATAATCTAATTCTTGAATCTTCACAACCCCCTAGGGAATAAGCAGTTATCACTGTCCCCACTGTAACAATAAGGCAACAAGGGCACAGAAAGGGTGAGTTACATGCCCAATGTCACCCAGCAAGAAAGGAGCAGAGCAGCATTCAATCCCAGACAACTCTAGCTCGACCATCCCAACTGTCCAGTGCGGGTATTGTACTATCCCATGCAGTCCGCGGCCCATTCCAACATTCACCTCCTTCCAGGCCAGTACCCTACACCGGAGACACATTGTGATGAATTTCACACAGTCAAGTTGTTCAAAGTACAGTGAGTGAGTGGAACTTCAACTTCCGCGGAGGGACAGAGACCCTGCCTAGCATTGGAACAGGCGCCCCAAGAGGAGATGATGTTCATTCAGAATCTTCTTGAAGAGCATGTAGCAGCTAACAAGACAAGGGCAAGTCAAGAGCGCTAATGCAGGCAGAGGTTAAACAACCTGGGTAGTTTTAAGGCAGTATAGAATTAGGCTCCATCATGGCTGACATAGCTGTACCATGAGTGACAAACGCAAAAATTAGGTTCTACAAAGTGCTGGCAACAGTGCCCAACTTGAAATAAGCACCACATTGGTGTGGGAACTTACCTACACACACACCCCTCACAGCCATTGAGTCAGTGTGGACTTATAGCAACCCTGTGAATACAACTGTCCCTGTGAGTTTCTGAGACTCTGTTGATGGGAACAGAAAGCCCCATCTTTCTCCCAAGGAGCAGCTGGTGGTTTTGACATATGGATCTTGTGGATTGCAGCCCAACTCATAACCACTATGCCACCAGGGACCCTACACCTCCAGAGATCGGCCCTGGAAAACAGTCACCACCCCCACTCGTCACAGTCACTTTTTTAAAAAGTGCAAATCCCTCTAGGAACCTAATTGCCAGGTCCCTAATGACCAACTGCTTGATGCAACTTCTGCGGGTTACCTGCTGTAATTATCTAATCCCTCTGGGATTAGATAAGCTGGAGAGGGCCCTGGATCTGCCTACGGATGGATTTATCTGAAATTCTCAAGTAAATGATGGGAGAAGGTACTAAGAAACACAATGATTGGATTTACTCTAGCTCCCCACTCACTGGCTCTCCTGAAAGGACTAGATCGGAGGGGACCAAGAATGGAAGCAGGAAGACTAGTTAGGAAGCAATTACCGGAGTACTCTATTTTCAACACTGTAATAAGAGACCTTTTTGCTGGAATCAGGTAGCCATGCCACCAGAGCCATGGGAAATGTCTTCAACCAAGGTGATGAAGGGGGCCGATGTGGGGTGCACACAGCCCTCACTCACCCCCCCCTTCCCCACCCCCCTGCCAGCTTCAAGTTCCCAGGGGCCTCCGTAGAGGATGTGCCCCTCCAGGTATGTCCCAATGCGTAATTTAAAAACTTCCCAAGATCTCAAAAACTGTCTCTGCCAAAGCAGGTACTGGACAGCATGTTCCAGTTCTTCCCAAGTCCTTTGTCACCCAAGCAATTCATCAAAGTGCAGAGACTAATCACTTTTGGAATATTCCTTTGTTTATCAGCATTTACTTACATGTCAGCCAAGGTTTAAGCTAAAGGCTTCTCTAAGCCTACAAGTGTTTCAGAAGGATTATGATTTCAACATGCCAAGTGCATTCTTGACCTTATTATTTCCAGCTTTCCCTGGTGCTGGCCAAAGGTCTTCAGGAATGGCTTTTTAAACAAAGACCCTTGTGTAAGCAGCTGCTAGGCTGTGTCCCTGGGGCCCAGACTGTTGGGGCCCTGTAAAACTGCCTCTGTAAGCTCAGGTCCTCAAGAATGTCTTTAACATCAATGCTCTCTTCACATTGAAGTGGAGAATTGGACATCAAGATGTGATGTCCAAGCTACACTGCTATCTAGTAGACTGCGACTCACAGCAGCCCTTCAAGGTGGGGTCGAACTGCCCCTGTGGGGTGCCAAGACTCTTTAGTAGAAGTCTCCTCTTTCTCCCAAAGAATGGCTGGTAGTGGTTTCTGCATAACCACTGTACCAGGGCTCCTAAGTCACCAGTCTTCCAGTGACTTAAAAGGCCAACATCTTCTAGTCTTTAAAAAAAAAGGGGGGGGGGTGTAAAATACTCAATAAAGGTTATAATATTTAAACAAGTCTCCATACCTTTCCAAAGAAGAAAAATTTTAAACAAACAAAAATCCTGTTGCCCTAGAGTGGATCCCATCCCAGAGTAACCCCATGTGCTAGAGAGGAACTCTTCCTTGGTTTCCCTGGCTTTTCTTCCACTGTGCCCTTGGGAAGTTAGTTCATCACAGCCTGTGCCACCCGGGAACTCGCTTCCCAGGAATATCTATATGTAAATTTCACAAGGGATTTTCTCAAAGATCCCTAAGGATTCCCCTAAGCATGGCTGTGCCTATCTTTCTAACGCTGAAACTGCTGGCCAGCTTTGGGTCTCTGAGAACGGACCTCACAGGACAACCTACCTGAGTTTGCATTCTTGCATTCAAGCATTAGCTGTCCTTTGACAGAAATCTCTTGGAATATCACCTACTGCATGGTCCATTTGAGGTGTTTTCCTTCTTGAGTTGCCTTCCGGACTAGAAGGGGCAGTGAGATTTGCGGGGCAAAGGGCGGTGGAGCGCCTAAAGAGGACCCAAACCCGTCTCTTCTCTTTCGGTGAAGTCGTCTCCACACCGATTCCCTAACTCTTCTCAGTGAAACTCCACAGCCTTCCCCCCTCCTGCCCGCGGCTGGAAGCACCTGGAGACCATTAGGGCGTGCTGGGCACAAGAGGTGGGTGTTCCAGCCCGTTCTCAAAGACCCACACCCAGGGTGGGAGGGGGCGTCCTAGGGATGGGGGGGAGGAGTGCAGCGTTACCTTGATGAAGAGGGTGATGTCGTGCTCCTGCCCCTGCGAAGGGCCCTTTTCCTGGGGCACCTGGCCATCCTCCCCGCGGCCGTTCACTGGCGCAGCCTCTTCGCCACCCTCTTCCACCAGGTGGTTGCTCAGCTCGCCCTCGCCCTCGCCCTCGCCCTCGCCCTCGGGCTGGCCATCACCCCCGGGGACAGCCGCCTCCTCGCTTGGGCTGCCCTCGGAGGGCTCGGCCTCGCCTGCGGCTGCCGCTTCCCCAGTCTGCCCCTCGGATCCCCACTCTCCCCTCTCCACCTCTTCGCCCTCCTGCAGCCCCCCTTCCGGCCCAGCTGGGGTCCCGTTCTCCTTCTCCCCTAAGTCGGTGCAGGAGACCTCGGGAGTCCATTCCTGGGGCTCCTCTCCTCCTGAGACCCCTGCGCCCTCGTCCTCATCCCCGTCCTCCTCCTCCTCCGCGGCGCCCAGTGCCTCCCCCGCACCCTCCTCCGCCTCAACCACCGCCGCCTGGGG